GCTCAGGGTCACTGCGATCACTCCGTTCAGGTTGACGTCCAGCATGGACTTGTAGTCATCGATGGTTAGCCAATCACAGGGTCCGGAGGGGAGGGACACGCCTGCATTGTTCACTACAGCCCATAAGCCTGGGGAGGGTCACACACGTAAAACATAAGATCTTTTGGAAGACTTATCAAATAGTAATCTCTAGAGGGCGGAAACAATTCAAAGCATGTTAATACAAGCTGAATCCATTTTATATGAGATGAATGTCTGCTCGTTAAATGTGTGACGCAATATACGACATCGAGTGGTGCCGAAGGACTGCTTAAATGCATGTTAAATGCAAATTATTATAGTGACATGTTTTGCCAAGGTCAGTGGACTTCCTCTGGGGTCCATGACTATAGGGACACTCACCCCGCTCCCCCACTTTGTCCTTGATCACGGCGGCCACTTTGGCCACGCTGTCCTGGGACCTCACATCCAGGTGTGTTGTTGTCAGGTTGGGGGAACAGGACTTCCTCAGGTCCTCCTCTCCCTTCTCGCTGAAACACGAGGCGATCACTCTGAAGCCCTTGCTGTCCAGGTGGCGGGCCAGGAGGTTTCCAAAGCCGCTGTCGCAGCCTGTGATGTACACATACTTGTTGCCCTTGTCTGGGACCCTGGGCAACTCCCTGAACCAGCGGTACACGTAGTATAACAGCAGCAGCCCCACGAGGTACAGGTACATGACTGGAAGAACAAAGAAGACATTTTATAGTAGTACTGCACTTTACCCTTTGAGGTACTTAGTAAACTTATTTTAATTGAGTGATTAAGTGATTACAGGACACAAATACTTACAGACAAACAGACCTGGGTTTGGACTTAGTTTAAACGTCTTAATCTCTGCTACATTGATGAGGAAATACTTTTACACCTTGTTTTTCTGCAGATAACATTTTCCATTCAAAACATATGATCCGTTTGTAAAATGCAATGAAATGTGAAAGACTGAATTATCCAATATAGGATATACAAACCTAAGCATCTCCACTTCATTGAGGCACATGAGTAAAATGCTTCCTATGTATAAATGCATTACTAGAAAGTAGACTTTTACTCCACCAGTGCCATGAAGCATTTTAATCGTGTCATAGTCAAATGTTTAAATAAACTTAGAGAAGGAAGGAAGCTAACGTTATCTATCTGACTTCCTTTTTTGCATTAACTTCCATAGGAGGTATTACATTTTTTGTAATTTAAATCCTTTCTTCATTCACTATTGCGCAATTTGACAGGGGAAACACGGGGGGGTTATTGAACGCTACTGATTTCAAAGTTCACTAGAAGGTGATTTCGGATTAGATATGGTGTAAATTAACGACTTTACATTGTATATTTAAATGCAGTATTAACTCCATATATGCTATTTCCTATTTGGATAGGTTTCTGATAACGTGTTGTGCAAAAACTGTTCAAAAAGTGAACACAAAATGACGCCAAAACTGTTATTTTCTTCTCGGTCGCACTTAGCGGTTCCCTGCTATTGACAAACAGAGTGAATACATTATGTTGTTATCTTAAAAGATGTCCTTAGTAGTGTTCTATCTATGGAGGAGTTCAGTTTACAAGAAGTGAAATACTACAATGAAAAAGTCGTACCTGTTGAGCAGACGTCTACCCGGACTCTGACCAGCCTTCACCAATAAACATGATTATATCAGGCGAGGGGGAGCCTGCACCACGTGACAAAAACAGCCCTCTCCACCAATAGAAACGCAGCACCGCACAGATCACCTCCACAGGCGCCAACCAGCGGCCGGAAAAGGTATATCTGCTGCTGACACGGATTATAAAAATGTATAAATGAGTACTAGGAAATAATCAGCTCTTCCAAGCAAGATAACCTTTAGATATGTTTTCTAACTAAAGTATAACTAGATCTGGTAACACAATATAAGAGATCAAACTCCATGCAACGACTATTGTGTACCTTCCTAACAGTTATTGCACATACATTAATTAATTTTAAGGCAACGAGACCAATGAAATGATTTAATTCTTAAGCAATAAAACAACAAAACAAACTTTAAAAACAGGATTTTGTCGTAAGAGTCATTCTTGGTCTGCAAACGTTAGGTAGTATTCATACACAAACTGACATACTGACTACATTTGATGGCCTGAGAGTGTTATTTTATTACCCCACAATTGTTTACTTATTTTGCTATTTATTATTTTTCCTGTATGAGGGGTGGTCTCCCACATGTCCTTGCCACTAGGTGGTAGAATAATGATTTCCTTTAGTAAAAGTAGTAATACCTTAAAATACTCCATTACCAGTAAAAGTCCAACATTGTAAATCTTACTTACGAGAATACGCTAGCTAGTGCAACTTATGCATAAGTGTTATCACTACAGGTATACATGTTCCATCATTAGTTCAAAAGCTGGCAGAAATCACTAATGTACCTGCTTATTCTGTGCAATGTATTCTAGGGCTATCTGTGGACATGTTTTTCATTCAAATATGATGTCCTGTGAAGACACTTTATAGAGTGTAACACATACATTTAACTACTGTAATGCAATCCAATTTATGCTCATTTCATTAAGACACTTCTGTAGGCTTACATATTACTATGTAGAGTGCCTATGTTCTACTAATGAAGGTTATAGTTATTGGGTCATTTGGTATGTGTGAAGTTATGACAATAAAGATGGGTCTTTGTTTTACATCGTTTCCATTCAATGAAATGTGTGCCATGGGTCATCTGAAACCTTTCACATGTTCCCCACAAGGAGGCAGCAGTGTTGTGTAGTCATTCATTTTCTCTGCAGATGCAAGCACTTCTACGGTATTTCCATAAGTAAAGTTGCAGTAGGATATTGCACACAGAAATGCTTGATCACAGAAATGTACAATATGGTTGTGAATTTTCACAAAATAAGTGCTTTAAAGCTGTTAATGCAGCTTTAATACCTTTTAAATGTCCCAGTTACAAGAAATGCATTTGTTTAACTTGTTTAATTCTATCTGGGATTCTTTGCGTGCATGCCGTTTATAGTTTTAATATTTCTGATGTTAGTGCAATTGAATGTTGACGGCTTGGAAGTTTTAATGAATACACTTATCTTCTTTCTTTTAGGAGTTTCCTGACTGCACCAAAACAGGAAATAGGCCTTTGTTTATTCAAACAATGATTTGAACCCTTCATGTGAATCAGAACTCATTAAGATTTGATTTTAGCTGTATGAAAGTAGCCTGCATTCGCCCTAGTAAAAAAAAAGGAACTATACATGAAGCTTTCCAGCAAAGTGGAGTTGGAAGAGGTCAACAGCCGTAATGTCAACCTGCAGTAACATCAATACACAACGCCTGCTCGCTAAGCTACGTTCTAGCTAACAGTGTATTTAGTATAGTATAGGGTATTGTTACACATAATGTTAGATTAAATATTAGCTAATGTTTGCTAACATTAATTAGCAAGTGAGACTGTAGCAGCAAAACCCTTTGGTTACAGTTTGTTTTATTGCTTTATAATTAAATCATTCATTTGTAGAAAGAAGAAGGTGTTCTTCGTTTTGTTTTTTAAGTAACGCAGTATTGCTTTAGAGACGCAGATATAGCTAACGGATCAAACAGGGCTAGTATGTGTCAGATGCAACTTTCTTACACCAAGACACAAGATAAATTACACCACCTAAGCATCCCTATCATGACACTTTTTTAAGATATATTATAAGTAGGACAGATATCGCATCGCATCACAACTTTAGAGTCAAAGCAGCTGAAAATAAACGTGTCAAAAAAGAACAAAACCACAGACCACTATAAACAACTCATATGGTTAAATAATACATAAGAAAGGGCGGGGGGGGGGTATACAAGTGTGGCCCCGATTCTTGCTAGAAAATCAATGAAGCTTGATTTGTGTTTAGATGCAATAAACACATGTGTTCATATATTCAAATTCCCTAAGGGACATTACGATAGCTATCTAGTCATTGTAGAATTGTGCCAAAGCTTCTGGTCTTAAAGCCTATTAATCCCTGTAGGCTACTTATCAGGACTTAATAAAGATTACAGAATGTATTTTTCACAGTCCAAACACATTGTCATGTTAAAACACTTTGGTTAAAGCTGCTACAGCGTATAAGTGTTATCCCTCTGACTGACGTGAAAGCCGGACTTAGAATACAGTGTACAGTTTAAGAGGAACACATTGTCTACAAAGAGACTGAAACCGTTCCTCAGAGAGGGCAAATGATTCATAAGAAGAACACTTTCCTAATCCCCAGGGAAATAACTTTTCTCCCTATGTTACTATTATTATTTTCAGAAAATAATTACCTGGGAAGTTTTACAATGATATCTATCAGTTATTTTTTCAATTCACCTGTAGTGTTGCAAAATGCATGGAATCCAACAAAACATATAGATAAAGGTTTTATACTCATATTAAAACCAAGGAATCTCTACTTCAGTAGCTCGTACATACACCAAACTCCTTTTAGTTTTATCCATATTCTGAAGGTTTGAAAGAGTGCTTTGTTCATATATTGTTCATAATCTGATTTATTACAAGTTATTCCTTAAAACATAGCAAACATGTATTTACTTACCGGATGTTGACAGAATTTTCTGATTTATGGAGAGATATGTCACACAAATTAACCAATAATTTTTAACATGGCCTCGTGTCCTGTTCTATAGATGTATGCAAATTGGCATGGGGCCTAATTGTCGTATTTGCACCTGAAACAGCAGATAACTTGGTCTTTAACTGTGTAACAGTGATATCCATTGGTTCCCCCCTTAAAGCCCTGCCCTGTGTGAGTTCATCAGTCACGTTCAGAGGATGCAGAAACAGTGCAGGGCCTCTGCAGGTAAAATATTTGCACAGCGGGGTCATCAGCCTTTTGAGCAGCATGAACCGACAGGACACTTACCCTCAAACCAAACACTCTGACCCTGAGCCGCTGCCAGCTCTGTCCAATAAGAGCATGAGAGTCACAGTGTGTTGTGACAAGCGACTACAACTAGCCAGAGGACAAACAACTGGATGTCTTGGACTAAAGTGAAGGAAGGCTGCTGACTTGATTTGAATTTGACTTATTTTGTTAGAGCTCATGATTAGCTTCGATCAACGATAACAAACATAGATTTCTCATCAAAAGGAAACGTGTAGGTGAGTCTATTTTTCTTAATTGTGAAAGCAGTTCAAATCAAAACATGCTAACAGGACTAAATTAGTTTTCTTCAAATGTTCAAATGAAATTAATTAACTTTGTAAATGTTTTCGGAACGTGAGTAAAAGAAAGTCAAGGTAAGGCGTGCTAGAAAATAGAATACAAATCAATGAAAATTAAAACAACATTCATTCATTATCCACAATATAAAGCTGTTAGAAACTACTTTTCTTCTTCCCTTGAAAGCGGATGTCTGCTTCAAATCAAAACATGTACTCTTCAGTGGGGTTTACTTTTTGACCTGACTGCCATATTCTATTTATTCAGTTTTTGCGCTCCTCGGATTTGCTTTTTCTAGATGAGCCATCATGCCGTCTGGATCAGTGAAATTGCACAGCATTAAAAAACTGGGACAGGAGAACAACAGCTATGAAGAAGAAGGTAAGAGGACAGGGAGATGCTTCATGGAACGCAAATGAACGGTGGCCGACAGTAAACGCGCTGTAACGGCCTGAAACACTTCCACTAGGAGAAAAGCGCTGCACTTTCAAAAGCAATGCAATTAAATAAGTGAGCATCACCTTTCCGTCGTGTTTTGAGCTTCTTGCAGCGTTTTTAGTAAACGCTGTGTACGTTTCGATGAGTTGGTGAAGATGTGTCTTCATTTGCATGTGTTTTGGCACACTTGTGTTTTTATATTGGCATAGTAACTGCAGCTTGTTCTCCTGATGGACATTTTTTTGGGCCGTTTTAATGCATGTGTCGTCCACCGTAGAAACGCCCCAAAATCAATACAATAATTCCGTATTTTATTTGAATAAAGAATGATGGATACGAGATACATCTACAGATACAAAAATGGTTTAAACGCTTATTTTATTCTTTTGTTTCAGAACCAGCTGGCTCCTATGCGTACGTATTCTTTGGACTATTTTATGATTTCTTATGATTTATAAATGATTGAATAAAAGTAATAATCCTAATGTTGGATTTTTTTTCACGCTCTTCACAATAAACGTGTTACCTAGAAAACACACTTCTCTCTGGAGGTCAATGAACTCGTGCACTCGTGTCGAAGTGAGTCGTCAACAGCACGGCTGCATCATTAAAGAATAATAATTAGGGTATAAAGTAACACAGTTGTAAATAATACATTCTTTACATTCGACATCATGACTGAATGCAAGATAGGACATTTCCATCATGTATCAATCAGGGGATTAATATGTGATGTGATGATTAGGTGATGTATAATTAAAGGCTATTTAGAGTTTTAGACTTGTGCTTTCAGGGCCACTGAACACGATGGATGACACATTTAAGGAGGACTCAAACACAGAGAAACAAACCATATAAAGGAAGCAGGAGAATTGATTTAGGCAAGGGTCGGCAAACAAATAATAATATAAGTTGAACTATTAGTAGTTTAGATTTGAATGGCACTTTTCAAAAACTAACTATAAAATGTGCGTTCCATTCAACAAAATAAAATAAAAAGTAATACAGGGACATCTAAACTCATTACACTTGAAGAACTCTCAGTGATGTGGCAATCCATAGGAAGTGATTGACATATAAGCCAGTCTATATAAGAAGGGCTCAAAGACACGAGACTGATTGTGCCGGCCTTATCTCCTCAGGCATTCTGTTCCTAGAAGAGACAGCGCACTCAGCTTTAGTATTGAACCTGGCACGTGGAAAACAAACAAAAAACAAAAAGGGGCCTTGCCTAAGGATGTAATGCTGCTTTCCTCTTTCTAAAAAGATAGAAGGTCATTGATGTAGCTAGGGGCTTTCTGTGCTTTAAAAACATCAGTAAAGTCTTAGAATCTCTTCTGATTCTTACTGACAGCCGGCGCATGTATGCAGAGGCTTGATAGAAACATTGAGGATCTAAACAGTAACAGGTAACAGTGAATGCACCATGGTTAACTCATGATCCATTAACCCAGACAGTAGAAACAGCTGTCCATCTATCATCCTGGAGTAATTCATGCATTTCCAACTTGTGTTTTGTACCCTAGGCAAGTACTGATTAATGCCTCATTTGCATTTGTAAACCTAACATTAAACACAGAGCAGACTGGGCTCTGGTTTCAGACAGAGGGTGAAAAGAGGTGATACAGGCAGTATGAGAACAATAAAGCATGGAGAGATGTCACAGGAGAGACACTACACACTGATATGAACCTGAAACAGGGCCTCTTTAAGCTGCTAACTGTATGCTCTGTGTTTTACTTTGCAGGAACAACACAACTTCCAAGGCTGATAAGTGAGTAAAGATAGCAATGGAGGCCTTGGATGCATTCACACCTTATATATAAAACCTATTCTTTTATTCCAACAGAGATGATGGAAAGGAGGAGCAACCGGCGATACGGGTCGGCTTCTTTCAGCTGGTAAAATACTCTTTCTTTAGCTTTTTAATAAGTCGTAATCCGTCTCCATGGAGCTGATGCCAGTGTTGTGCTCACCGTCCTGTCCAGTTCCGTTACGCCAGCTGCAACGAGGTGCTGATGATGGTGATGGGGAGCGTCTGCGCGGTGCTGCACGGCTCGGCGCAGCCCCTCATGCTGCTGGTGTTCGGCCTGCTCACCGACACCTTCATAGAATACGACATCGAGCTCAACGAGCTGAAAGACGAGAGGAAGGAGTGTGTGAACAACACCATCCAGTGGAAGAACCACACTGGCATGAACCAGTCAGAATGGGCTATAACGGACAATAAAATAATCCCATGTGGGTAAGTAGGTTGAAAATAGCCAGCTATGTGATAATAATAAATGTTAAGATCCATCGTTAAGTATATCATTTGTTGTCTTCATATATGATTCACTCATTTATGCTTTCTTTCAGGATTCTCGACATTGAATATGAGATGACCAATTTTGCCTTGTATTACGTTGGAATTGGAGCAGCGGTGTTTGTGCTGGGATACTTTCAGGTTGGTCTTAAACTGTCATTGTTTTCATACAAAGAGACACATCTAAAATGAGATGAGTCTGTGTCACCCTTGCACTTGAAAACAAACTCAGTCAGCATGGCACAGCTTGATCCCATCAACTGTAAAACCTCTGAAAAGCTCCTGCTGCCTGTATACAATTAAACAATTGCTTGGCATTTCAGCAGAACATCATTCTCTGAAGCTGTTTCCCAAAGTCCCTTCAGTTATTATGCCTTTCTTAACAATCCAAACACCTCATTAAGGAACAATCACAATTGTTTTCAGAAATGTCTTAGTATATTGGATCTCAGTGCTGCATTCAACACGGACGGTCACACCGTATAACCAGACAGACTGGAAAACAAGAATTCTTAGCATATACATTCAATGGTTTATATATTTTTGCAGTATAGGGACTTATTTTACTTAAAAATACTAGGTTTACATTGAGGATGGTTGGAAATATCCTGATTGTAGTTCCTATGGGTTAGAAAGGCTAGATACTACATTTCCCATAATGCAACTCCATAGAAGCTTGTCCACATTTGACCCAGCATGCCCACATTTTTTCAAATCCACATGAAATGCAGACTTTTTGTGAAATGTAGCTTCCAATCATAAGCCAAGACCATGGAGCCATCATTATGACATCATCAGAGTTATTATGTCTAATTTGAGCTCCTTTAGAGCCACAGAGGACTGTTTGTTAGGCCGAGTTGTATGTAGAATTCCCCTTTAACCGTCAAAAAAGAGGTCAGAATCAATCTATCGTTTGTCTTTTCTTTCGAATAGATCTCCCTGTGGGTGAGGTCGGCTGCCAGGCAGATCCAGCTCATCAGGAACCTGTACTTCAGACAGGTGATGAGGATGGAGATCGGCTGGTTCGACTGCACCTCTGTGGGGGAGCTCAACACCCGCATGTCAGAGTGAGTGGGACAGTGACGGCATGATTTCTATCTCATGGAGTTTTTTTTTTTTTTTGACCTGTTGTTATATATCTTATACAGTGACATCAACAAGATCAACGATGCCATTGCGGATCAAGTCGCCATCTTCCTTCAGCGCTTCACCACCTTCGTGTGTGGCTTCTGCGTTGGCTTTGTGAAGGGATGGAAGTTAACGCTAGTTATTGTGGCAGCGAGCCCACTGATCGGTGTTGGAGCAGGTCTCATGGCCCTGGTAAGATCTGACTTGTTGAAATTGACTTGGCGACTTGACCTAATGAATGGACTTGGTCTTTATTTGTCGACTTGACTTGACTTCTCTTGACTTGACGACCCAGCTTCCCTTCCGTTGACTTGAGTTGTGGACTAGAACCGTCTTTACTTGTTTAATTTAATTGACTTGACTCACTAATTTCCTGTTCTCCATTAACTATGCGTCCCTGTGTTTTTCCTTTAGTTTGTAGCTAAGCTAACGGGGATGGAGCTTCAGGCCTACGCTAAAGCTGGAGCTGTAGCAGACGAGGTCCTCACCTCCATCAGGACTGTGGCTGCTTTTGGTGGGGAGGCAAAGGAAGTGCAGAGGTAAGACTTTCCAGATGAAAGTTAATTAACTTAAAGTGGACCTATCATGCTATATTTGAATAATATAGTGTAGGACCATACCTATATAAGGCATATTTATACTTTTTATTTTTCAAAATACCAAACAGATCATGCATTTGAGTCATTCCTCATTTCGCTCAATTGAACACTGTCTTTGCATCATGGGCTGATTCTGTGAGAACAGCACCATCTACAGGCCTGGCATATGTACTACAGCGTCTTCAGCGCTTTCCAACGGCAATGTCCGTGGCTGTCTCCTCCTGATTGGTGGAGTTGGCCCAATAGCCGTAGCGCCACTTCTGTGACGTCATAGAAGTGTTCAAATCTGGATCAGTCTGTATCAGATCCGTTGCAGCCCCTTTTTAAGAGATTTGGGTATGGAGGAAAATAGAGAGGGTTGTGTTTTCTGACACTTGGTGAGTTCCCTGGAACACCGGGGACACATATTCATGTATAAAAGACGTGCAAAAGTGCATTTTGCATGATAGGTCACCTTTAATTTACTTTGTCCTATAAATCTATACATGCAGCTGAAATGATCTCTCCTGCTGTACAGGTACGACAGGAACCTGATCTCAGCGCAGCGCTGGGGCATCAGGAAGGGTCTGATCATGGGGTTCTTCACTGGATACATGTGGCTGATCATATTTCTGTGCTATGGGCTGGCCTTTTGGTATGGCTCCAGCCTCGTGTTGGATACCGCAGAATACACACCAGGAACACTACTGCAGGTATCACAACCAGAACTGACAGAGCAGCAGTGGGGGAATCACAATTTAATTATTTTTAAGAAAGTGCTTTTTTAATTAAGATGTTTAAATGTCAAATTTACGTGTATGGAAAAATCCTACTCGGCCATTAACAGAATTCAGATTTTCATTTTGGTATTAGTTCAAATTAAATGCACAAAATCCAGGGAACAAGAATTGAACTGCTAGTAAGTCAAAGGTCAGTTCAAGTAACTCCTAATTAGATTTGAAAGGTAGCAAATGATTATTAAGTTGAGAAATTACGATTATATATAATGTTTATGAACTGCTGATTATGGTCCTTTAATGAAAGCATTTTTTTTCCTTTCAATGTTTGGGTTTCTTCTTTGCTTTTCCGTGGACAAAACCTCAGAAAAAACAATTGCATACAACATTTTACAGTTTTCATGTGACCAATGGATGGATTTAGTTGACCTTTCTTCCAGGTGTTCTTTGGTGTTCTGATAGCAGCCCTGAATCTGGGACAGGCCTCCCCGTGCCTGGAGGCTTTTGCTTCAGGACGTGGAGCTGCCACCATCATCTTTGAGACTATTGAGAGAGTGAGAAAGCTTGTTGTTAAAATTGATATATATAATGGCAAGGTATTTTACAGAGAAGTCACTTCTTTTTTGTACGTGTCGCTGACAGGAGCCGGAGATTGATTGTCTCTCTGAGGCTGGATATAAGCTGGAAAAGGTGAAAGGAGATATTGAGTTTCACAATGTGACCTTCAACTACCCCTCCAGACCGGATGTCAAGGTATTCCTCATTATCATATAACTGAGGGTATAATTAGGTTTCTAGAAAAAAGACATTTCTGTGATCGTGTGATCTGTGCGCAGATCCTGGACCAGCTCAGTGTTGCAGTGAAGTCGGCGGAGACCACAGCCTTTGTGGGTCCGAGTGGAGCTGGTAAAAGCACGGCTATTCAGCTCATCCAGCGCTTCTACGACCCTAAAGAGGGCATGGTGGGTTTGACAGCTGTACTAATGTAACACACAAGTGATTCTTCTATCAGTGCTGTGTGTCATATTAAATAATCCCTTACACACACACCATAGCTCCTTCCTTTTAAGTGTTATTCTAGTCCATTCAAAAATAACCACCCCCTGAGGGTAATAGAAGAACATGATAATCTGTTCCATTATTCAGCCAATGGCTCCTAACAGCCTCATTTTTCACTTTTACTAGAAAAGGTCTTTGCACACCCTACTCCGTACAGTCTTTATAGGAGTAAAAAGCCATTCACAGCACCACGAAGGTTATGCTTAGACCTTCATTTGGGAGTAGCATTGTGGCAAAAAAAACATTATAGCAGCTTTAATAACTCCATCCATAAATTTTTTAGCAAAATCAGCTCTCTGTGCCCTCCACCTCAGGTGACCCTGGACGGGCATGACATCAGAGGGCTGAACATCCAATGGCTGCGCTCGCTGATCGGCATCGTGGAGCAGGAGCCCGTGCTGTTCGCCACTACCATCGCTGAGAACATACGCTACGGCCGGCCCGACGTCCCCATGGAGGACGTCATCGGTGCTGCCAAACAGGCCAACGCATACAACTTCATCATGGACCTGCCACAGGTTCTCACATGATCTCATACAAATACTTTCAGTAAAACGTTTTTAAAATGTCCGCCTGACAAGTTTCACTTTTTACAATCCGGCAGAAATTTGACACCTTGGTCGGGGCGGGTGGAGGTCAGATGAGCGGCGGTCAGAAGCAGCGTATTGCCATCGCTCGAGCTCTGGTCAGGAAGCCTCGGATCCTGCTGCTGGACATGGCAACCTCTGCCCTCGACAACGAGAGTGAGGCTACAGTTCAAGAAGCTTTGGATAAAGTAAGTCAAGTTCTACTCGATTAGCTTCTGGTTTCATCTCTGGTTTGAAAGAAATTAAGGTTTATACTTCTTAGAGAATGTTCCAAAAATATGAGCCAATAACACCAGTTAATTGACCATTTTGGGGGTTAAAAGGTAGAAGTCCTACTCTTTATCACAATCAGATTATCTCCGGCAAAAATCTGGACTATTAAACAGATTGAAATATGTTGGATTTGATCTCAGGTACGTACGGGGCGCACCACCATCTCCATCGCTCACCGGCTGTCCACCATAAAGAACGCTGATGTGATCGTGGGCTTTGAGCACGGCCGGGCTGTGGAGAGTGGCAAACACAACGAGCTGCTGGAAAGGAAGGGGGTCTACTTCACTCTGGTCACCCTGCAGAGCCAAGGGGACAAGGCTCTGAATGAGAAGGCTAGACAAAGTAGGTCCAGAAAGATATATATTTTTTAAAACAAAAGGATCTCCTGATTGTGATCACCCTTTGTTGGATCTCTTACATTAGTGGTTGTCGAGGATGAAGTACCAGAGAAGCTGAATCTGTCCAGAGCAGGCAGCTACCGGGCCAGCTTGAGGTATTATTCATTCCCATCATTTCCCTACACTGTAATATCCACTTCCATGGTCGTGATGTGCATCTAAATAGGATTATTACACTAGTCATTTAAGGCGGGAAATGAAGTTTGTCATGGCAGAAACTGACACCTTCATTTACTTAATTATCCTCTTCCTTGGACAATTGCAGCATTTAGCTATTATCATGACAACTAGCCACTTACCACAGCAGAGTTATGAGCACCCAGTATTTAGAGAAAGCAGAACAACAAGCAGCAATGTATCCCTGTGAATATTCATGTGCATAGAAAAGATGGCTGAAGATAGGTATTTTGTTTTGTACAGAGCCTCTATCCGCCAGCGTTCTCGATCGCAGCTGTCCAATCTGATCCCAGAGTCTTCTGTTTCAATCGCTGGAGAGCTTGGCCCCAGAGCCTACGCTGTGTCACAGCCAGACAAATCCAAGGTGTGTTTGTGTGTGTGTAGGAGTGTTTGCATCCAATTTTACACGTGGGTGGTTTGAGCAGGTCAAAAATAATGACATACCGTTGGAGTGTAACACTCGTTGTTTGAAATGTTTCTGCTATTCGCTTTTTGTCTGTATCTACCCTCAGAATAGTATACACAGTTTATTTATTTGGCTGCATGTGTATATGTCTGTGCTCAGGAGGACATCGCAGAAGAGGAGGAGGAATTTGTGGAGCCTGCTCCTGTTACCAGGATCCTGAAGTACAACGCACCCGAGTGGCCTTATATGCTTTTTGGATCCTTTGGGGCCGCCATAAACGGAGGAGTGAACCCGGTGTACTCTCTCCTGTTCAGTCAAATCCTGGCGGTGAGGCTTAAGTTGTTTCAGGATTTTCTAAAATACAAAAATCAAGCCAATTCCCGACATTTTTAATAACAGAACACCAGATCTGCCTCGTTACTACGACTTCTGTGTATTTCCGTGACGTCATTTCAGCCTAAATACTCCCACTCCTATTCCCATTCACTTACATTGGGAAATAGATGTCTGTAAATCAGCTAAATCAACCACCCAGTAGCCGACACACACTTTTATAAACCTTATTTAAATAATTAGGGTCTAAAAGTTGTAATTCAATGATATGTGTTGATTTACTGTACATCAACTTACAATGGGGACTTAATTGAACTGATTTAGTTTGGAACCTGTCTAAAACGAGTGCAACTGGCCTTTACACTGAACCTTTTACAGGTTTTTCTAACATGTCTTTGTACTCATGTGTCTCTCTTTGTGTGTGTGTGTGTGTGTGTGTGTGTGTGTGTGTGTGTGTGTGTGTGTGTGTGTGTGTGCGTGCGTGCAGACATTCTCCCTGACGGATATTGTGGCTCAGAGGAAGGAGATCGATGGTATCTGTGTGTTCTTTGTCATGGTCGGCGTGGTCTCTTTCTTCACCCAGATGCTGCAGGTAGAGTAGCAGCCTGCTTCTGAAAGACTGATTACTTTAGTGCTCCCACTGCTTTCCCCCCCAGTGTGTTCAAGGTTGAGGGAAAGTCACAAAAGATCTGTTTTATTGTGTTAAATGAATACCTTATCTGGCTTAAAAAGGTTGCCCTACTCCCTGCAGAGTTCATGATTGATCCATCACACCCATGGATTAGAGGGATGGCAGATATGTAATATATGACATTATGCTGAAGATCATAGTTCGGGGATTTCATATCTTCCTGTTTGTGTGTTTGTGCGCGTCCAGGCCTATGCTTTCTCCAAGTCTGGAGAGCTGCTGACCCGCAGGCTACGTCGTCTGGGCTTCCAAGCCATGCTGGGCCAAGAGGTGGGCTGGTTTGATGATCACAAGAACAGCCCCGGAGCTCTGACCACGCGCCTGGCCACTGATGCCTCACAAGTTCAAGGAGTGAGTTAAAGACTCGGTATAAATGGATTTAGAAAAGAGAGAATCATCACATTGTACGGTGAAAATGATGCTTCTTTTCCACTTCTCCTCGAAGGCCACAGGCTCGCAGATCGGCATGATCGTGAACTCTCTGACAAACATTGGCGTGGCCATCCTCATGTCCTTCTACTTCAGCTGGAAGCTCACGATGCTCATCCTGTGCTTCCTGCCCTTCATCGCCCTGTCAGGGGCATTCCAGGCTAGGATGCTAACGGTGTTCGCCAAGCAGGACAAGGAGGCGATGGAGACCGCCGGACAGGTCAGACTTCAGACTGCAACAAAGTTATTTTCACCCGTCTTTTGGGAATTTATCAGCGTCCAGGATTCTGATATTTATGGACTTGTCGAAGGCATCATCTTAATATTCCGGATAAGCTTTCAGGTGGAGTCACAGCAGCTACGGACAGCAGATAAGAGACAGCTTAACAACAATGTCTATTTTATGCTCACGGTTTCATTTTTTTAGGAGTAGATCTACATCCCAGCAGATGAGGTCAGATCCTTAAAATTAGCAGGTTAGGCTTGGAGGGAGCTAGCACTGTCAGGCTGAATATCTACTGTGGCCACCCAGGTTTAAAATCCTCTCATGGTACAGACAACACAGCGGATAAAACCTTAAGCAAAATAAAGCCAGAGCAAGGAAGTTCACAATTAAAGGCAAAATCAATTTGCTGTGAACTTCTTTTATGCCTTCTCAGTGATATCGATGCAGTGAAATCAAAGCATCCGAATAAAGTGGATTAGATTAAAGTTTAATGATCCCTATCGGGGAAATGGGTTTGCTGTGTCAGCATTAAATAGTATGTAGATAAGAATAGGTGTTAATGTTTTATCTATATCCCCTTCACACATTAAAAACACATAAGAATTAGGAACAGCTTCTCTATGCCTTTTTTTTCGCATACTATTCAATCCCAGTTCTAACATTTGCAGATTTCCGGCGAGGCATTGAACAACATCCGTACCATCGCCGGCCTGGGGAAAGAGAAGACTTTTGTGGAGCTGTACGAGGCGCAGCTACACGCTCCGTACGAGGCGGCCCTGAAGAAAGCAAAGGTGTATGGAGTCTGCTACGGCTTCTCACAGTGCGTCGTGTTCCTAACCAACTCCGCCTCCTACAGGTTCGGAGGTTACTTGGTGCAACATGAGGGGCTCCATTTCAGCTTGGTGTTCAGGTGAGAGGAGAAAGCGTCCCTGGTATTCACTGGGATTTACAAAAACGACTGAAGAGGCAACTACAAAATGTAAATACAGAAATAGCTATTACTCAAACATTGATTTAGTACTTGGAGAGGACAGAACTCTTCACATGCTTCTTGTATGGTTCCATTTTCCTCGTTAGGGAGTTGTTTTTCCAACTTTGGTATGTTCAAGAGTGTGAGATCGTAATGTGGACAGCATGGACTCTAAATATTTCTTAAAGTGTTTAAATTATCCATTGATAGTGGATTCTGAGTCGTTCTCAATTTGCCCAGTTGGGAACACATTTTCTTAAAGAAATACACTAAGGCGTGCTGAACAAAAATCCATTGTTCCAGGAGAACGATCTTGTGAATGTATGAAAATGTGAATCGATAACTTACACTGTGTTGGTTTCTTGGTCAGGGTCATCTCAGCCATCGTCACCAGTGGCACTGCCCTGGGCCGAGCCTCGTCTTACACACCGGACTACGCCAAGGCCAAGATCTCAGCCGCTCGTTTCTTCAAGCTGCTGGACCGCGTGCCTCAGATCAGCGTCTACAGCGATAAGGGAGATAAATGGGTATGAGGGCATATGTTATGCTACGAGTTATGTGCTGTTCTGACACATTTCACGCTGAGTTTATAAAGAAATGATTGCTCTTCTGTGATGAAAAGTCTAATTTATTATTTTTTATTGCTTTGCCTATTAATTTTACATCAGTCATTAAAAACGTGTAAAAAGACAAGTATGGATTGTAGGTCATTTTATCACATATAATAAATACAAAGAAAAAAAGATTTCCTCAAAATTCCGGTACTTGTTAGGAATATTGAATAAAAAAACGTAATAATTCAATTAATTTAAATACATTGGGAGTGTTATGTGCCTTTTGTGAACAGGAGATGGCACCCTAACACACAGAGAAACCTACCCTAACCTTTGCTCTCTTTTTCCTGTTCTCCTGCTGTGTTTTCAGGATAACTTCAAGGGGAACCTTGAGTTCATTGACTGTAAGTTCACCTACCCCACCAGGCCAGACATCCAGGTCCTGAATGGGCTGAATGTGTCGGTGAAGCCGGGCCAGACGCTGGCCTTCGTGGGCAGCAGCGGCTGTGGGAAGAGCACCAGCGTCCAGCTGCTGGAGAGGTTCTACGACCCGGACCACGGGCGAGTGGTGAGGGCACGGCGAGGCATAATGTATATACTGTCAGTGGACTATGAATAGCTTTATTCTAACTGGACAATCTGAGATACTCCTACTTCACAACATTTAGAACATTAGACCACTACATTTATTCTTCAGCCTATAATATCTTGTTCATTTTCCTAATGTAACAACACATTAGTAAAATGTTCTCCAACTCATCCAGATGCAATATTAATTAGCTAATCAATGAAATACATACATATATATGGGGTAGTTATTTGGTAGTTATCCGGAGGCATGCAAATGATATTGACTTTTCTATAATGACATTGATGAGATGACTTTTCATTAGATTTCCCAACTGATACGGAACAACATTCCAGCTAAAAGGGAGTGGATATTGGACTTCAATTTGTCAAGTTAATTCAAACAGAAACCTAAATGAATGCTAATGTTGCAATACATCTTCTGAATGTGTAAATAGACAACTGGCACATTAGCTATATTAGCCACAATAGCTACATTAGCTTTATAAGGAGATAATAGTGTCAGTGTTGCGTTTGAACTTCTTCTGCCCCAAGAGGCCCTGCACAGGATACTGGGGAATACTTAGCATTTTTCAACATGGAAAGTACAAATAAAAGGTCTGACACATTATATTGTCACAGCAGATGCTGACCTTTATCAAAATGTCAGATCTCTCATTGTGAGATTAATAAGTCATGTGTAGTCTGCTTTCAGTTATTAGTAAAGTAAAGTAGAAATCTGACATTTTTCAATGTCAAAGAAGTATTGCTTAACATTCAGGGAAGTATATCTGACTTCTATTCATCTGATCTTTTCTCCTGACTTTGTGCTGGTTAAAATAACAAAAAGATGGAGGTTTGCTTTTGAGCCAGTACGGATCCCTGCCAAGATTCAACTGGCTTAATTTAGTTGGAAGTGGTTTGGAAACATGGGTCCTGATGTTTGAAGAGGACATCATCACCTCTAGGTAGCGAGTAGAGCAATCACAGTAGAGATGGCTCATTGAGTGGATTGTATTTCCAGCTTTTGGTTATTATATTGCTTTCTCCTAATGGTAAAATCAATGGCTTCCCGCAGCTGATAGATGGCCATGAGTCGACGGGTGTCAGCGTGCCCTTCCTGCGCTCTAAGATTGGCATCGTGTCCCAGGAGCCCATCCTGTTCGACTGCAGCATCGAAGAGAACATCAAGTACGGCGACAACTCGCGGGAAATCAGCATGAACGAGGTCATCTCTGCCTCCAAGAAAGCCCAGCTCCACAGCTTCGTCATGGCGCTTCCTGAGGTACTGTGGGCATTGTGTGCGGGAATGTTTGGACCATGGGAGGCGGGTAACATGAGGTTTATCTGTCTGTGTTCAGGAAACAGGTTGGCACACATGCACAGCTCATGATCAGAACAGATGAAGTGGCACATGGCGGTGTGAGAGAGGCTGGTATTTAAATACTCTGGTGCTGAGTAGGGACATGTGTGGGTGATGTGTGAATGAGCAGCAAGTGTCCTCCTTAATGCCACGACATGTTTCAGCTAATAGATTCCTCTTAAGCTATTTTCATGAAGCTGTGAAGAGCAACTTGATATGCAAAATGAATGTTATGTTGGCTTAGTTACGTCTGTCTCCAGATTTGTCTATGGGTTACAGGATGCTTTAATGCTGTGGCATTTTTAAGGAGTTCAAATATGGGTTTTCTAGAAATGTATTTGAAATAATTCATTTTTTTTCTTTTTTGACGGATAATTCAACTGACAGCTCGGATATCTCAAGTTTATCAAGACTGCAGAAAGTCATTTTTGCAAACATGGAACAATTAGTTGTTATAATGACTGCACTCGCCATTGACCAGGAGGAGCTTGTTAAAAAGGTTTTCATTATTTTATTTTCCCAAAATGCAACGAGGCTCATTAGCAGCAGCAGCTGACTGATTGTAAGCAGGTCTCACACTGCAGGCATTCAGGAACAAATCACATGGAAACGGATACATTCAGTTCTGATTTGGGCGACTTTGCTAAGTGTTCTTCAATCAAATACAGTTCTGATTTTTGTAAATGTAATACATTTGTAGTGGATTGTCTTCAGAGTATTGCCGTATGACAGTGAAGTATTTAAGGACCACACAATTACTTAGGAGTTTTAATGGTAAATCCCCTTATGGCCCTTTTTCTTTTTTTTAAACATAAGTAAATGTCCTTTATAAAGTTCCATTAGATTATTTTGTGAGGATCTTATTTGTGGCGTATTTTAGTTGTTGAAGTGAGTGTTGAGTTTCTTCACTTGGCCTTCAGGCATGCTACAACCAGCCTCAGGATGTTTAGTGTGAACAGTTCAAGGTGACAGGGAAAGGTGAGGAAGTCTGAGTGTAAGTTATAAAATGCTCCTTCCATAAAGCGCCTAGGGAAAGCTAGAGAATTTTAGAGGCCATATTCATATCATATTCACAGAACATTTTTTGTTCACTGAATCCAAGTCATTATCAAATTGTAGATTTTGTATGAACTTGCATGGGAAAATAATAATAGAAAGACCAATTAGAGGGGGATATGACTCACCATATTATTCCATCCGGCCTCAGAAATACCAGACGAACGTTGGAGCCCAGGGATCTCAGCTGTCTCGCGGTCAGAAGCAGCGCATCGCCATCGCCCGGGCGATCATACGTGACCCGAAGATCCTGCTGCTGGACGAGGCCACCTCTGCCCTGGATACGGAGAGCGAGAAGGTATGCTTCATTACACCCTGAGCACCACGATGTGTATAATCCACACTATACTACAGTGCAGCTGCTTGATAGTCTTCAGGCTCAGAGAGCACACAGGGCACACACTTAATTATTATTATCATTAACATCATTATCATCCATCCTCTCTATTATTATCACCAGCAGCTCACAGTTCACAGCAGCCCTCCGGTTAAGATGTCTGTGGGGCTGCTCCGTTTCTTTTCTAGCTCAAATGGCTGCTGCACGCTGGGGAGCAAAGAGGCCTCTGCAGCACGCTGATACTCTGGAACAGTTTAATGATAGTAATCAATGCATGATTGTGAAATTGCTATAATTGCGAGGTTCTGCTGTGTGGGGAAACGGAGGGTGTCTGCTGCTGCCTCTCTGGGAGCCTGAACTCTGCCTCGTGTTTGTGTTTTCGTGACAGACAGTGCAAGAGGCGCTGGACAAAGCCAGAGAAGGTCGGACCTGCATCGTCATCGCACATCGCCTCTCCACCATCCAGAACTCTGACATCATCGCCGTCATGTCCCGGGGCTACGTGATTGAGATGGGGGCGCACGACCAGCTCATGGCCCTGAAGGGAGCCTACTACAAGCTGGTTACCACGGGAGCCCCAATCAGCTAACTGCTCAGGGAAACGGTCGCCAATCGGCTAAAGAGAAACAAATGTTAGGAGTGTTATGGTCAACAGGGAACATGTAAGGAAGGAATGAAGTATTTATTTTTGGGATGGGATTCTGTTATGTGTACAGCAATTTTATGAATCTCAAACCCTATTTTGGGGTATTTTAAGACGATGTTGTCCTGCTATGTTGGCAATTGTTTCTATTACATTTGTAGAATTCCCCACAGTGTACTGCCCCAAACCAGCCCTTTGGTTGTCTATAATGTATGTAAGTTGGAATCTTGACCAATATTAATAGAGTTTCATTATGAATGATGAATTATATCAATAATTAATTTAGCTGGAATATTATTTATATATTTCAAGTCCAAATACAACACAGTTATACCTCTACTGATGGATATCCTTCACTGTACTCTTGCTGAAATAAAGAAATCTACTCTTTTTGCTGAGAGAGATACAAATAATTAAATATTTAATATAACATGTCATCAAGAGTTTTTGGACGAAAGACATACAGGAAGCATTAGGAAATACACAAATATAACATATGGGACCTAAGTAAAGGATTAATGTATATTTATATTCATTTTCATCAAAAGGGCTACGGTTTTAATTAACACCCAGGACACACATTCCTTTGACAGAAGCCTTATACATTTTCACACATTCAAAAATATTAGCTTTCAGTTCACACTAGGCTTCATTAACAGCAAAAATATATTAACATATCTTTGAAATGATCAAGGGTTTTTAAAAAGCTTGCAAATCTGCTGTCACAACCTTATATATACAGTCTATGCCATGGTCACAACGCTAGTTCAAGCCACTAGTTATCAAACAGAGTGGAATCATGGGGAAACAGCTAGACAGTCGCTGTCTCAGGGATAAAATCATTTGTTTACCAGCACCTTTAAAGCTCGCTGTTCCGGCTACAGCACATGTCCAAAGTAATATTATCAGTATTTTGTTTTTAGAGATGCTACGTTGAACAGTGCCATCTGCTTCCCCCTGATTCCAGTCTTTAAGCTAAGCTAATGACCTGCTAGTTTTACCTATCTTTCGATCCAACTGTCAGCAAAAAAAGTGAATATGTATTTCCCACAATGTCAAATGTCAGTTTTCAATGTTTTTGTATTGTTTGTGAATTAAATAAAACCATCAGACTGTCTGAGCCCGACTGAGCCATATTTGTGTGAAATATAGAATGGCCTCATTAATGAATAATGAAGCACTTCTCAGTAAGCTTTCATTTGTTTTAACAAGCACCTGGGCACTGTTTGCATTTACTTCTCTCAAGTGGGCACTTGTCTATTGCAAATAGTGTCGGTATTGGAACGCATCCAATGTCTGAAATACAGGTTGCTCGTCCAGCAAGATCTGTGTATTTATTATGTTTCTCAACATTAAAGTTGTTGCTGATGAAAACACCTTTTTTTGATAGGTTTATTTGACCATTTAATTATGTTGTAAATTCAGATATCATCAGTCATGTTTACAGCCTGCCTGTGGTCATGTGAGCCAAATATAGTTGATCTGTTATTGGTTTTAGTGTATTTTTACGCAGCACACAGGTGTTTCCAGTAAAGCTAATTAGACCCAAGGTTGGAGGTGGGCGGAGCTATGGTGATAAATTGAGGTCTCTGAAATCAATGGACCAATAAGATCGACCGGTTTTTCCCGCCTTAACAGGTGCAACAAGAGAGTTGCAATCAGTCTTTCAATGCCGACAGTAGGGCCGGCTGTGGGGCATTCAAGGACACTTCTGAACAGAGTCAATAACAGAACATTGACACATGGAACACTTTTTACATTGTTTAAAAAGGCTACACCTTATTTTAAGACTTCCCGTTCAGCATTAGCATTTTTAACTAGCTGTGTAGCTTGGGGTATCCGCTACTAATCAGAGGGTCAGTGCATGGTTCATTATTGTATTTTTGAATAAAAGCTGTGTTATAGTGTTATAATACAATGCAGTGTATGGATGACTTGCATCACCTGCCCTGGCTGGTGTAGTTTTATGACTCATATAATCAGGAGATAGACACATCTTAAATGTGTTTTCATCTGAGCTATCTGATGGCTTTAAACAGTCATTTATTTTATAAAGGTAGAGGAAACTGATTACATTTCCTTAACTTCCATCTGAGTTGTTTAACAGTAGTATTCATTCGTATTTTGATTGATTTATTGAGTCATAAACCCTAATGCAGATGCAGAGCTTTATAGGATCCACCACTAAATGAGATAAAATGCTTTCAACCGCACGATGATAGAATAACGCTGATGGAAAAACAAGGGCGCGGCAACGGTCACTGTGATGGATTACATATCCCAAGCTTGTTTCATTCTCAGCACTGAGCTGAAATGAATACAAATCACATGCTGCCTGGAAGGGCATCCGCATAAAAACGAATAGCATGCTTTGAAAAACTATGTAAGTATGTTCAATTTGCATTTAATAGACACAAAAATCCCTGGTATGGTATGTATTTTTCTAGCTGTCAGTCAGTCGTTAAAATAACAAGATGATATGCTTTTAATAAAAAAGAAAGGTGCTGTCAGTATTACTCTAGTAGCAGCAAAGCAGAACCACGTTAAAACCTGCTGCTGTGAAAAGCCTTCCACGAGGAACATGCTGGGATAATGCATGGCCTGCTTTGTGAAGATAATGCTGTATGGCAGCATTTCAGGGCTTAGCTGTTCCTAGCTGAGAGCTGCTGTAGGCCTCTCCCAGACTCGTTTTCCCCTTACATAAACCAAACCATGAATAAGCAGCTTGATAGCATAAAACAGCTACTTAAAACTCTGTGACTGAGTGAGTCCTTCACAGGAATATTTAATCCGGTGCAGGAGCGTATTCCGTGTTAACAGGTGTTGATGCTGCCGCTCGTGACAGCCGCGCCGTCAGGGTGCAGATGTCAGAGACACTCCATCAGTTAGCGGTAATATGTGATCACACCACACTGACCTCTGGGAAATTGTGTCTTTAATCACGACATCTCCAGACCCAGACTCCCGGTGAATTAGCATTCCTTAGATGCTATCTCATCTCGCAGGTTCCCATGCCAATTCATTCACAGAGAGGACACTGTTTGACTTTGTGCCATGGAGTGTCAATGCAATTCTGATGGATGAAAGCAGGCGCCGGGGGCTGAGGATGTGTCTCTGTTGGGTGTGAGAGTGATAGGAAGCTCCTCTGCCAACACAAACAAGCCTCACACGGGAACACTGAGGATTTAACACTGCTTTTCCTAATTTCTCGTAAAATGTCAGCACTTTTCGGTGCATTCAAATGGGTTATTGTGCGTGCCTCTCATCATTACATCCCCCCTTCATTTCCCATAAGGATGATTTGTTTTACTGACTTCTTGCCCTGAACTCACCTGCTGTGTTTAAAGCGTTAAAAGCACTGACAATCAAGAAGCCATTACAGCTAACTGAGAGGACGGACAGCAAATTGGTTGGGTTGCAGTAAAGCAAGGTTGAGTAAAGCGGTAAATAAGATGGAGGAGACCCTTGTTTTTCACCGTGTCAATAGCTGGCCTCGGGGGGGCTGTGTATCGAGTGAGAATTTAAATGTGGTAAAGAAGAGAAAACATTTCAAATGAGACTTCAGGCTGGAGAGAGAATAAAGAGTTCAATATTTGATCCAAGGTAGCAGCTGGAGGAGGTTGCACTCTAAACGCTCAATCATAATAAAAGGCTGCTTTGTTGAAGTGTCCTTCAAAGTATTATATTTCGCTCAGTTTTAAAAGACAGGCCTGACCTTCAATAAACACAATCAACTCGTGTTGTGAGAGTGGAGACGTTTCTGAGGTAGCAAACAGAATAAATCAGATCCCAGATTTGTTTATAGAACACAACTTTAACAGAGAAGGGCAGAGTTCATATTAAAAGCTTTCCTTTTCCACCTCAGACCCAGGAAACAGTCCATTATCTTACGTTGATTGTTGTGATTCATGGTTGACCTTAAAGATGTTGGCTATCCGTCTATTTTAGAATGTAATACAAAACTTGAAAGGGTAATAATACAGGTAATATGTCAGTGCTTCAAACAGGTCAGCATGAGACTTCAGAGGTTATATCTGCATTTGTTGAGGGGCCCTGACCGTCCGTCAATATGTGACGGGTTGGGAGTGAGAACGTGTTGGTTTGACGGTTAAACAAATGCAGTAAAAGAATGCTCTCATTCTTATCATATGAACTCAAACTCAGTTCAACTCGTGGCTCATTTGATAATTGTAACACTTCCACTGCTAATCATCAGACACATTTTATTTTAGGACAAACTCACCCATGTAGAAAACTTGAATCTCTTCCAGCAGAACAAAGACTTTCTCCGCTGTTAGCGCTCTTTTCTCTGGTCTCTCTTAGAGAAATTCATGATTCGAGAGGATCTTTCACCTGAAACATTGCATTCTTTTTTGTGACAACTTTAAAATCTTTTAACATGTGTGACAAAACACACAGGGGTATCCAACACATGCTTTCTTACACACTTTAACACTCAACAGCTATAATAATGGGCAACAAAGACAGGCTGGCAGAGAACCTATACCTATCCTGGGGCCAGATGTTAGAGTAATAACTACCAAATATTTATGACTGCCCATGAAAAATGTACCCTCTCTTGGAATAAATGTGAGGTAAAGAATTTGCTGATGTTTGATGACCTTCTTTAGCACTGGTTACACAGGGACTTGTAGTAAAATACTTGTCATAACACATACAGTAAAAGGCAATAAGATAATGAGTTCATATCTATTAGGATAATAACAAAGAGTTCAAGTGTGTCTCACACACTTACACTAAGAGTTTATTAGTGCTATCATTCAATTAATGTATAGTTAATGTAAGCGTCGCTGATGTAAGAACTCAAAGTGGCATTGAGGTGATAAAATATAAGGAGAAGGTTTTCAAAAGGTATTACATTTACAACGGTGAATATAAACCTGATACAATTATAAAAGCAAAAGGCATACATTGCAAGCTATAACCCGGGAGTATTGTTCAGTTGTGAGGCAAGCCTTGGGTAAGCCTTTCTCTTCCTGAAGCATTCGAGTGGTAATTGAAGTTTCTGCAGGCGAGTAGTGGAGTTTTATTCTAAGTGTGTGTAAGCAATATGCATAGACCATTGTCTCTGTCAATTCAAAAAAAATTAAATAACAGGAATGCTCATGAATCAAATAATCAAGAGGACCATCTTTTGCATAATGGGTTTCCCGGTGTAGCTTTTCATTTGAGGGCTATGCTAATGCTCCCATTCAGCACAGCCTAGATCAGTCACAGTTGTTTGTTTACATCAGTGGAGACTACTCAGCTCTCTGTTAACACGCAAGCCAAGTGGGAGCTCGTGCCGCAGCGCTGTGACCTTGGACTCAGAAGAAGAAGAAGAAGAAGAAGAAGAGAAGCATGTTCCCCATGTGCGAGGTCTACCATTAATCTCCTGATTCATTGGTGAGGCAGCGTGATCCACTCTTCAAACCGAAGGTGCCGTGTTCCGAGCTCTTTGGGATCTCCGCTCTGCTGACCCCAGTGAAAAGACAATGCTGGGATGAATAAAACTGCTGTGTGGACGGACGGCCATGTTCAACTTTGCTGATCAGCGGATGCTCCTGGGAGCCGGAGCCACCTCCTTCCTGTAACCTCGTGAGATTTACTGCACCGGCCCTTATTCCTCACTTCAGCTCGGAGGAATCCCCCTTGAGCGAACCGGAGATAACATTAATGCGCCGCTGTCTAAATAGCATTGCGGCTGAGAGCTAATTCCCAATCAGATACAGTCTCTGAACAGGCCCATTTGCGGGATTAGCAAATAGCTTTTCAGAAAAACGAGGCAGTGATTGACCTTCCAGCTGAACAACCTGCTCTGCTCATTGACTCTTCCTGTACAACACGGCTCTGACATCCAACTTAGTGAGCTGCTAAAGCATAACTAAATCCGTCTGTTGCCATGCCTTTCATAATGAAACATGCAGAAACAGCTGTGCCTTCCTGCGGATTATCTGTTTACTAGCCGTGCTCATTCATTTGGATACAACAGGTTATATATAGACAAGCATAGTACAACATTTGTTCCCATGATTGAGGTTCAAAGGCAAAACATTACATCCAAACTAAAGTACAGCACTGTGTAGCTGCAGCCA